ACGCTGTAGGGCGGAGGGTAGCTGAGATACAGTAGGAGAGGGACGACTGGGAAGTATCTGTAATTTAGCCCCCAAAATTCCCCCGATAGAACCCGAAATACTATCGAAAAATATTTTTTAAAAAATGGCGTGAAGCTACGGCCAAGAGCAAACGGTGAAAGAAAGAAAACTGATCCAAAAGCTAGCTAGCTACGGTGGGACTCCCATTGGTGTGCGCTTTCCCAGGCTGTCAACGATTAGTATGCACCACTCTCAGGTTCGGGCTTGGGAAACTGTTCAGCGCGCCGTATAGAGGCATGCAGAAAATTCCATAGTGATCCCTGTCAGTTGCCCTGATGAAAAATGACTTACTAGGCTTCTCCTGAACTTTAAAAAAATTGAAAACTAAAATATTTAATTTTAAAGGAGTGGACAAGTCATAGCTGTGACTTTCCTGCGAATTTTGCGGTGCCCGCGAATAAGTAAGAAAAACCTAGACTTACGTCTAACAAGCCAAGCCTTAACCAAGCCCAAGCGAAGCCTAAACCAAGCCTAAACCAAGCCTAAGCCAAGCTTAAGTGAAGCCGAAGCAAAGCCTAAGCCAAACCTAAGCTAACCATAAGCCAAGCCTACGCCAGGGTATAACTGGTACCTTAACAACCCAAACCAATTCAAAAACGTAGGGAGCGTGGGAGAGCGGCTTGTGTGAAAATGGGTTGCCCGGCTTTCGGGGGGCCACGAGCGATCGGCGATCGTGAATCAGCCGATGGCTCACAATGGGGCTGGAGGGTCTCGCCGTGAACCGCTACCGTAACCCTGCACTGCGCGCAAAGGGCAACTTATAGACTGAAGGAAAATGGTGTTGTAGCCTCTCTATTTGATTTATGGTACTTTTGTTTATAAACAAGATGGCGTAACAAAGCGAAAAACCAGAAAACCGAAAATTCTATCTAGGGATCCGACTGACTACTACGCGAGGCTCCATTAAACACTTCAATTTGCATGGTGTAATTAGAAAAATTAATTAACGAAGCAAAACTCAAACCTACCAAAAACAGCTAGAAAACGCAGAAAAACGTTTAAATTTCGCGGTTTTGGTCGAGAATCGAACATTTTTGTATTTTTGCAATAAAAAAATTTTTCGCCGCCTTTAGGGATTGTAAAACAATGTCGAAATATAGCCAATTTATTATATAACAGTAATCCTGCATTTATTCTAGAAAAATTGTACCAGAACGAAAAAATTGCCTGAAAAAAAAACGTTTAAAAAGTAGCCATTGCAATTTCGGCATTTTAAAAGGCTAAAAAATTTAAATAGGTTTTCAATTTTGAAAATAGCCATAAGCAATAGAAATAGTTAAATTACAATAATTTAAAAACAAGCAGTTTCATACTGCTAAAACAGACCAGCAGTTTTTCCTCGGTGGTCGGCAACAGCTCCTCATAACACGGCGGCTCGTCGTCGTACAGGTAGCGGAGTTGCAGCTGAATTTTCAGGCGTTTTCGAGGAGTAATTTCGTGCTGGGCAGCGGCTTTAGATTGATTTTGGAGAGGTATAGACGAGTGTTGGCAAGCGACCGAAAATGTAGCGGACCCGGCGGAATTGTAGCCGGCAAACCGGGGGTGGCCAATTCTGGGCCGGGCTGTTGGGTAATTTGGGTTTGTCGTCGAGGTAAAAGACGTAAAAGAGCCGGCAAGATAGTATGGATTCTTGCCGCTGACCGTGACACGCAACGTAAACGATCGCCTATGCGCGTGCGCGTTGCGTGTCGCTGCCTGGCTGAATCCATAGCCCCCCCGAATCATTAAGCTTAACCATCCCTTTAAATTCGGCAAAATTAGAAAAATCCGTTGTAGCCCTTTCAAAGTAAAAAAAAGTAAAAAGCGTCATCAGTTATAAACAGAAATTTAATGTTCGTTTAAATACGATTAAGACGAATTTTCTCAGTTAGAAATCGCAGAGCTGGCCCGTCGATTGGAGCGTCGCGTACGGAGTAACTCAGCAACGTTACGCTCAAATTGACAATGCTTGACATGCCGTAACCAATTCAAAATTTATGTAGTCAACCTGCCAAAATCCATCCAAAATAGGCAAATTATTTGTAAAAAGAGCACAAGAAATCGCGTCAGTTGGAGGGTAGTGTAGCCAGTACCATAACTACTTATGGCTCCAAAAGAATCCCATTTCCGCGCTGGAATTGTCTAGTTATTTAAAAACAAATGTGAGCGTCAATGGGAGCGTAGCGTAGCGAGCATCACTCCTTTTTTTGACGGCGTTTTTCTTATTTATAGTTACGAGCAAACTAGTGTCTATTGGAGCGTAGCGTAGTGAATACCACGACTACGCGTCGATCCAAAAACGTCCGTTTTGCGTGCGCATTCTATTTTTAAATTATTTCCTTGACTTACCATCATTTTGACGGAAAATTCCGAGGCGATCCAGATGACTTCTGAACGCCCTGCCCCATCTCCATCGAATTTATGCCGCAAAATGTTCTCAAGCATTTTCTGAAACGTTTTTGTCCCCTTTGTATATATGGAGAAGCCAACACGGGGGACCACACGCGATGACTACAAACCCCCCCCAACAACTCTTCTTACCACATATTTTACCTACCACCGTTTGAGACGCGTGCCGGCCTGTTTACCAGCAAAAAGTTTGTTATGCGCGCGTGGGCGAGAATACACATGCTTTTTTAAAAGACGATTTTCTAACGAGTTGAAATTTTTTTGAACATCATGATGTCAAGGTTTTAAAAATGTTCGTAATAATAAAAAAGTTTACATTACCGAAAACCCCAAAATCCCGTCAGTAGAAATCCCGACAACCAAACTCTCTACAGTCAAAATCACAATAGTCATGATCCCGACAGTCGTAATCCCGACAGCCAAAATACCGACAGCGATAATCCCGACAGGCTAAAATCTTTTACTAAAAATCTTTTGACGCTAGTTAGAATGCGATTTTGGATATCTGCATTTCCGCTGTGTATTTTGGCTGTCGGTACTATGGCTATCGAGATTTTGGGTGCTCGAATTATCGTTGTCGGTATTATTGCTTTGGTATTATGAATTTCGGGATTTTGGCTCTGGGGATTTTCGTTGTCCGCTTTTTGGTTTGCCGGTTTCATGGCTATCGGGATGTTGGCTGTCGGGATTTAAGCTGTTGGTTTTTCGTCGAGATTTTGGTTGTCGGGATTCGACTATAAGAATTATGACCGGTCGGGTTTTAGCTGTCCAAATTTTGGTTTAAAGGGATCTGGAAGGCCCAGGAAAAATCAACCAAAACGAGCTCTTTTCAATGGACAAAAATTCTACAAAGCGCTTTTGAAGACCCAAAAAACCGGTCTCCCCCGGACCCGATCTTTGGTATATTATTCTGCCGATTCGTGCCCATCCGGGGTATCCTCTGGGTGAGGATATCCGGGTTACGGTCTCTCTCTCGATCGGACCGTTGTGTTGTATGCATTTGTAGAGATTGTTTGTGCTTCGGAACTCGTTTCCCGCTCTCGCATTTTTCTCCCCCCTTCCCGTATATGTGCCAAAATGGGGGCGGGTAGAGGGATGCAAATACGGACATGTCTCGAGGGAACACACGCACCGTTCGTGCTCCCACGCTTGCCCCTCCTGTAGACATCAGAAAACGGGTGGATTTGTGATTTTTTGCATCTTTTTACAGATATTTTTTGATAATTTGAACCCTCCAATAAGTAGGCCTGAGCCAAAGCCTAAGCCAATTCGAAACCTAACCTAAGCCTGAGCCTAAGCCAAGCCAAGTCACGTCTAAGCCAGGCTGAAGCCTAAGCGAAGTCTCAGTATCAGCCTAAGTCTAAGCCAAGCCAAAACGTGGCTTTGGACCAGTCCTAAGCTTGAAGCCAAGCATACCCCCAAGCCAAAGCCCAAGCCATACCTAAGCCTAAGCGCAACCTAAGTCTCAGCCTAAGCCCAAGCCAAGCCAAAACCTGGCTTCGGACCAATCGTAAACTTAAATCTAAGCTAAGTTTTTTTAATATAAGCCTAGGCTTAAGCCTAGCCGAAGCCAAACCCGAAAATAAGTCCTTTGCCCGAATTTCCCTCCTGCCGCTCAACTTTTTGTACCGCATACCGTAGCGAGTGAAAGCCCCCCCCCCCTCATTCGGTTGAGTCCCGTAACGGGTGGGGCTGTAATTTCACGGGGAGAAACTGAGGAGGAGAAACCCTTCGCAGAAATCAGTTCCCGAAATGGGATCCGTCATGGTAGAAGAGTAGCTGCCCCCCAGACGGTCGCTTATTCCATTCATCATTCCTCCTCTAACCTGCTCGATTCCACGTCCATACCATGCACAGCACAGGTCGTCTGTTGTCAAGAGCTCAGCAGTTTGGTACTGTGCCGATAGCGGGGGGGTATCTTTGTCCTATTGCGCCGAAGGTAAGGATACCGATTTGCCGTGCTTTTGCAGTATCGGAGAGGGGGTGGGGTGGGCAGGCGACTTCTTGGTATACGTATTTACGTATTTACGTTACTTATTTAGGTATACGTATTTACGTATTTAAGTATTTTTTTACGTCAAGTCAAGTGGAAAACTGTCCATAAAAACTTAAAAATTTAGAAAAAATCAAATTTTTGTCGAAAATCGTCCATTTCTGGTCGAAAAATCAATATTTTGCATTTTTAGTAGGTTTTGAGCTTTTGCGCGTCGTGAAAGTCAAAAACAGTGGATAAATACTTCCTTAAAAAGCTTTCAGAAATTAGAAAAATTATATACAAAAAATTGGTTCCCCCCGATAATGCAAAGTACCCCCATTTGGTGGCTTAAAAAATTAGGGCTCCCAAATTTTCAATTTTTCCTTCAACTTGTCGCATCCGAAGAAATACAACGGCATTCACCCGGAAACGACGTGCCCAAAAATGCCCCTCTTCAACTAGTTATCCGAGTACGCCCCACTCCATTGTACGGCCCCAGCTGGCCGACAATACCCCCATAGGGCATTTTCCGGTATTTTCCGGGGGATCTGAGGGGGCTATTGCGGGGGCTGAAAACATGCCATACGGAGGGCTGGCACCTCTAAAGCCTGCACCGGTGCTTTGGCACCTTGTCAAGGTATCCATTTTCGATTTTTATAGTTGTAAATTGCCTTGCGTAATCTCTAAAGTCCAAACCGCAAAACTCGTAACTCACAAAAGTTCGTAAAGCTAATGTAAATTTCCTACCCTTTTATTTTGGTTTATTAACCTGACAAAAAAATTCAACGCTTTTGCATTATCAGGGGGGGGGGGGGGGGGGCGCAGTGGAACGAACTTTTTTCTTAGGGTCGATTTTTCGATTACAAATTGAGGAACTTTCTACCGTTTCCCCCTCCCCCTCCCCGCTAATGCCAAAGAACCAAAATTTTAAATTTTTATTTTTTTAAAGATGATTTAATGAATTTTTGATCATGAACTAGCTAAAACATTATAAAAACACTATGAAATTATAGAAATTTCGCCAGGCGGCATGAATAGGCTAGGATCCTAATAATCACTCTCTCCCGCCGCTAATAGCCCAGTACCACAATTATTTACTTCTTTGCCCAAAATCTCCAAATTCAAATGTTGACAGCCTCTTCCAACTTGTTTGTCGAGATCCGCTTCATCCAACCCTCAAAACTCCCCCCCAAATGGCCACCCTTTCCATTCGTAACCCCTCACCCTAGCCTTCAATTTTCTCGCAGCTTGACCATTTTATGAGTTTTCTCGCGCATGCGCCCACGCGCCGCGCATTGCTTCCATTTTTTACGGGAAACTCGAGTCGTTTAGAGGATTGCCACGGAATGTTCCCCTATTTATTTGCACTGTATTTTCACGCGGCCCTGACACAGCAGGATGCCTTCTATTGGGGATCGACAAAGTTTTCAGGTGAGGTTTGGGTGCTAATTTTGGTTTATTAGGTTTTAGTTATCATAAGTATAACCTAACCCTAAACTACAATAGAATTCGGATAAAAACGTTTTTTTTTTTTCTTAGAAACCCCGCCCGATCAGACGTGGAAACGACCGAAGCATCCCAATCGTTTCCTGCCCGATGCGAAGATATTTATTGGGGAATCGACAAGGTGGGCTTGGCTTAGGCTTGGTTTAGCGATATGCATAAACGTCTTTTCAGTAAAAACCCAGAATGGGCCGTGCAAAAAGCGCCGAGTCGCAGCGCGGAGCGCCTGGCGCCAATCCCGATCGCGAATTTGGATGCGATGCCGCCGGCGGCTCGGCCAAGAGAGGAGGTATCGTTTTCTGCCGAATTTGCATCTTTTTCATTAACGAGGGGATGGGTACTAAAAACACGGTTGGAAATTGAAATTGTAAAAAAGCTTTTCGAAAAAGAATACACATCGAAAAGACTAAATAACCAAAAAATCTCCAGTTTGACCTAAAAACGATGTTTTCTAAGCTGCCCTCCTCGAACTACCGTTCCCCACCGCCACTCCGACGCCGTGACGTTCAAATGGAGCCACGGTGCAGTTATGGTAGGGCTGGTTCGGTGATAAACTATAAGCTACAAACCATAGATCCGGAAACTTGGGCGATGCATCCAGAATCCACGATCGCTCACGCCGTCATGTTCGAGAGGGCGACGGGGGGATCCTGTGAACAGTGCCTCGCACGGTGTGCCGCTGCTCAGGTGCGTTCGGCATTTTTTTGTAGGTTAGGGCAGCTGGCAGAGATTCTTTAGGAAAGGAACCCCAGCACCAACTCTACTATCGACTAGCAAAGATCTTTAGATGAGGGCAGCTAGCAAAGCTCATTGGGGAGGGCTAGCAGAGACCATTGAGGAGGGCTAGCTGAGACCATTGAGGAGGGCTAGTAGAGACCATTGAGGGGGGCTAGCAGAGACCATTGAGGGGGGCTAGTAGAGACCATTGAGGAGAGCTAACAGAGATCATTGGGGAGGGCTAGCAGAGATCATTGGGGAGGGTTAGCAGAGACCATTGAGGAGGGCTAGCAGAGACCATTGAGGAGGGCTAGCAGAGACCATTGAGGAGGGCTAGCAGAGACCATTGAGGAGGGCTAGCAGAGACCATTGAGGAGGGCTAGCAGAGACCATTGAGGAGGGCTAGCAGAGACCATTGAGGAGGGCTAGCAGAGACCATTGAGGAGGGCTAGCAGAGGCCATTGAGGAGGGCTAGCAGAGGCCATTGAGGAGGGCTAGCAGAGGCCATTGAGGAGGGCTAGCAGAGGCCATTGAGGAGGGCTAGCAGAGGCCATTGAGGAGGGCTAGCAGAGACCATTGAGGAGGGCTAGCAGAGACCATTGAGGAGGGCTAGCAGAGGCCATTGAGGAGGGCTAGCAGAGGCCATTGAGGAGGGCTAGCAGAGACCATTGAGGAGGGCTAGCAGAGGCCATTGAGGAGGGCTAGCAGAGGCCATTGAGGAGGGCTAGCAGAGGCCATTGAGGAGGGCTAGCAGAGACCATTGAGGAGGGCTAGCAGAGACCATTGAGGAGGGCTAGCTGAGACCATTGGGGATGACTGATCGATAAGCAGTGATTCTTATGTATATAATGAATTTAGCCTTATCCGATAATTCCAGAGCTCCGACTGGCGCTGCCGCTCGGCAACCTACGACACCAAATGGCGTATCTGCGATCTGTACGCAATCCAGGGTACCGAGGAGCCCTTCGTACTCGTCGACTACCCCGGCCGAGACTATTACGAGTGCATCAGTTGGAGTGTAGCGTAACTGCTTTGTTTTTAGGTACAAACTTTATGATTTGGCCCTCGAGGTGCCAACCTTGGTGCAGCGCGACGCGCCCAGCTGCGAAGCGCGCATACTGGCGATCAGCCGACGCTTTGAAGAGGTAAAGCTTTGAAGGAAATGGTTTGGGTTTTTCGGCATTATAAAGTTTTGAAATGCTGAAATTAATCACCTAAGTGCAAATGCCCATCTTCTAGGAAAAAGCAGCCCTAACTCTGGCCGTCCATGGCGTTCGCAGCATCCCAGACTCCATTCTAAACGCTGACCCATCAACCGTAACTCAAAAATCAACTGCAAGCCATCAAAAGCTCTCGAATCCCCTGCCGTCCCCTGCACGCCGCGCGACACGAAAGCGAAAGGTGATGAAGCGGAAGAAAACGATCAAGCGGAGAAGGGCGGTGAGGATTTTTGGAGGTTTAGCAAGGGTTCTGGTTCGTTAGCGGGGGGGGGGTATCAGAGTGTCGGAGAGATTATCCCCCCTGCTACTGAACCAGAACCTTTCCAAGTCTCATTTTTTAGAAAATTGCTGCGAATCGTCGAGAATTGCTGAAGGAAATGGATCTGTTGCGGGGATTGGAGATGGCTGATAAGGTGGGGCTGGCTAGCGGAGACTCTTTGGGAGTTTTTTGGCGGCGGTTTTTGATACGGTTCTTGATACTTTTTCCTATGGATCTAGTTTCGGCTAGTAATGCCAATAACGCCTACATTATTATCTACCAATTTCTAGCTATATTTTCAGTCGAAAATTTTCAAAAAAAAAGATGAAAAAATCGAAGTTTCGCTCGATAAATCGATTTTTCCAACTAAAACATTCATAATTTTTTTTAATTCAAATTTGTAAAGTTTTATGAAGGTAAATCCATAGCTATGGCTGCAAAACCGTTTCATGGCCTTTTTATAGATTTCCCCCCTACAAAATCGTCCAAACCAGACGCTTCACCGGAAACCGCCACCGCCGCGTAGAAGGTGGGAATATAATAATATTTGCTGAATAATCTTATAAAAAAATTACTATTAACTAAACCTAAACAAAATTCTGTAAATTCCCTCGCTCATAGGGCCCAATCCCACGGCGTCAGCATCCTCAAAAACCCGCTCGACCCGATTGCTGCCCCCGAAAAGCTTATCCGGCTCGGCTCGACCACACCCGCTACGCAATGCTCCTCTGAACGCCGCCTACTGTACCTCGTCTTCGAGAAGTTCGATCGCCCATATATCGATGCGGTAACTATGGAATACCTAAAATTGAACTCTGTTCAGCTCCAAGTGACCTCCAACACCAGCCTGAAGCAGTGCGTGGCCAGTTGCACGATGCCGGAATGGTACGAGTTCCATAAATAAAGAAATGGGAATTCAAAAATATTGAAAACCAAGTAAAAAAAATTTTTCAGTCAATCGATGAAATTCGCGCGCGGCGTGTGCCGACTCGCTAGGGATACGGTAGGCCGGTCATGGAATAGAGTTAGGCTTGGGCTTGCACTTGGCTTTGACTTGACTTAGGCATGTCTTAGGCTTTGCTAAGGACTCGCTTGGTCTTGGCTTCGTCTTCGCTTGTGCCTAGCGTAGGCCTAGGCGTAGGCTTGGGCTTGGCTTGGCTTGCGGGAGGCTTTGGGTCTCATGGTTAAAGTTAAGCTTGGCTTAGACTTGACTAAGCCTTGGCTTAGGCTTGGTTTAGGCTTAGCTTAGACTTCAGTTGACACCCTTTCAGGCTGACCACAGGAGCTACGCGTCGTTGGAAGAAAACGTTGAAGCCGCCTACATTGAGCCGATGTGTATCCGCGCTCCGAACTGTAAGTCGCTGATTTTCTAAGCGGCTCAAGTCTAGTCGAGCTTCGGCTTGGCGTATCTAACAATTAGCGTATTTATACGATATATTTAAGCTATATCATAACTGATTCCGTATCCCTTTAAACAACACTTTTTCGACCCGTCTACCATCCTGTACGCCGTGCGAAATCACGCCCTTGTCGGCGCCGTTGAGCAGATCCAAACGGCTGCTAGTTTAACGGTAAGGCTACGCCGGAATTTCACTTTCTTTCTCGTTCACTTTTCTTAATAAACAAAATGGTTTTCAGGAATGTATAGATTTATGCTTTGCCGCGAAGAAATTGAGCGGTTTCAACTGCTCGTCGGCCACCTGGTACGGCAACGATCGCGAGCAGGTTAGTGTTTTTCGCGGTATAATTGGTTTGGTTTCAGAATTGTCTCCTGAACTCGGGCACTCGATGGTCTAGGAATGCGGTGAGTTGATGAGGTTTAGGCTTGGGCTCCGACTTGGCCCAGGTTTGGGCTTAGGCTTGGGCTTGGGCTTGGGCAGGCTTAATCTTTGTATGCTCATTAGGCTTTGATTTTAGGCCTTCATCAAATCCGACGTCCCGCTCGTCTACTTTGAAGCTTTTGATGCCTCCCTGCGAACAAACTTCAGCCTAAAAACTATAAAAGTATACAAAAAACGTAGAAAATACTTAACAAAACTATTTAGAAAACGCTAACGCCCCCAAATCAATGGACATTTTGGTCGACGTGCAGTCGGCCCGACGTTTTGTGGCGGCACAGGTTTGTTAAGCCAAAAAAACCAGATTTGGTGGATTTAGATATAAAAAATGCAGCGAGCCCGACGTCAGGCATTGCGTAAAAGAAGTAGCACCTTGTAAAGGTATAAATCCATTAAAAACCCTCAAAAATCACGAATTTCAGTGAAAAAACGGATGGCGAAAAGCTGAAGAGGTTCTGCTCCATCTTCATTTCAGCTTCATTTGCTCAATTAAATATATTTATATTATTAATTGATGCTTTGGCATTATCCTGGGGGGGGGGGTTTTTTGTATAAGCAAAATTACCTCGTTTTTTAAAGTGTTTTTACTAAGATTTAACTATATTCAAGTGGAAAACCCTAAAAATTTCGAAATTTTCGTCGAGAATCGGCCATCCTTGGTTGGAAAATCGTTATTTTTGTATTCTTACTAAAAAATGGCAACGTTTGCGCGCTTAGTAGATCAGCAAAAATTGTAGAAACGCTTCGTCGATTTACATCAAGAATCGGATACTAAAGAAAAGGAGTGGAATTCTCACCGATAATGCAAATGATCCATTAATAAATTTATCTATTTTAATTATTGTTATTTTATTTATTTATTATAAATCTCGCCTGTGAATTCTAGGTGCTGATAAAGCCATTTATTCCATTGTAAGAGCGGGGGCTTTGAGGCGCCCTCCCTTCACCACCCCCTCCCCTCACCCCACCCACCCAGCGGCTTGGCTCAGCGCCAAAACGATTGGCCCCCCGTGCGCGCGACCCGGGTTCGACCCCCCGCCGCGGCAATGTGCGATGATAATACTTACTTTCGTTCTACTGAAGCCTCATGTGGAATTACCTACATTACCTGAGCACATTTTTTTGCGTTTCGGAAGGCACATACGGGAGTTGGCTTCGGCAAATGTATTTTTAGACTGGTTGGTATGCAAAAATCGAAACAAGACAAAATACGTACCCCTGGCAAAACCTACAAAAAGCTTCTCAGCAGTAGTACGAAGGGTTATCTACATAGGAATGTTCTGCACAGACCACGAGTGTCATCAGTGAAGCTGAATCCGGGTGGGTGTCGCCGCGGCGGGGGGGTCGAACCACGGAGTCCCGCCCCGTTTTCCCAACCCGCTAGCCATTAGGCCACGCTGCAAGGTGGGGCTGACGCGCCCTGTGGAGATATGTCGGTGGGGGAGGCCGCAAATGTACGTAGAAGAGGGAAATGCTCGCGGTTTGAAGGAATCATTTTTAAAAGAATTGATTGTTATATTGCTATTATTTTAGTAAATAGAAGTAATTTTCAGAAAACATGTTCATCTAAAAACCTGACCGCCTTTAAAACGGCTCAAAAGTATCTATAGCAAATTTCTAACTTTCTGCAGACTTTTAGATTTTGTAAAATATCTATTTTATTAAATAGAAATGGTTATTACTCGGTAGCAAGGATTACCCGAGCGTTTCGCCCTAAAATCGATACCTAACCCCTGACACGGGGTCAATTCGTTGTCCGATCCTTATCACGCCCTCCCTTTTATCTCTCGAAAATTTATCTTTCAACATTCAGTCGATCTTTCAATAGTTATAGCTAATTTTCTAATTGAATTGATTTAGGTGATTGCTATTTTCGTTAAAAAAGCGGCATTTTTCTACAATGGTTTTTTTTAGAAATGCTTTCCAAACAGGATTCCCTAATGCTCGCCGGTTTCGTTGGTGGCTCCATGGCGGCACTTCAGGTACGAAAAACTTTTTCATTAGTTTCACATTTTGCTTGAAATCTTCTACCACTTACCTAATACTTTTCTATATGCCTTACTTTTTCGGTTCTGGACTATTAGCGGGGGTGGAGAAGCTGGTTAGCCTCTAAATATCGAAATTTCTAGAGTTGCACGACGTATTCACGGGGGTTTTTTTTTTGAAAGTTACAGGTTTTACAGGTTGTTTTTGATTACTAAAAACTCCTAAGCATCTTTAGAAAATTAGAAAAAGTGGAAGTTTCAAAGTTATTCTAGCCCCCCCCCCCCCGCTAAAAGTCAAGAACCATTCTCTTGATTTAGTTATATCGACTGATCACGCGCAAACGTGGCGACGACAGCGAATGGGTGCCGGTCGGCCGGGTGCGTGATCTGTACATCTACCCCCTGAAATCGTGCCGAGGTCGTCGGATTTTCTCGTTGCATTGTGACGATATGGGGGCCCGGCATATGCAGAGTCGCGACAGAATGTTCCTCGCCGTACATCCGGATGGACAGTACATTTTTTTTTGGCTTTTACATGACTCAAACCGGTCGAAAACGGCGGTTTAGCTTTGCGGCTGCCACCTACATACCTGTTAACAGTATATAGGGTAACATTTTAGCTGTTTTTGTTTTCTAGAAAGGTAGAAAAGTCATAAAAAACGTAAAAATTAAAAATTTTGACCTTTTTGGCCTTTTCATGCATTTTTATCAAAAAGTAACATTTTTCGAAAGTTTTTATTGGTTGTGAGCTTTTTATATCTAAAAACAGTGTAAATTGTCATAAAAATGGTTTCTGTTTCGATATAAGGCCGGCGGAAGTATCAGAGAAAAAAGGTTAAGTTTCCCCGTTAAAAATCCCAACCCCCGGTAACAGACAAGGTCCAAACAATTGTCCAGCTTCTTCACCGGACGCGCCAACCCGCAACTCGTCTTATTAGATTGTTTTGTGGAGTAAGTCGACTTGAAAAACTTACAAGCTCGCTTAGGGACGGCAAGATCAAGCTGGCCTACAAGGGGAAGACGCTGGAAGCGGATCTTGAAGAGGTGTATCGACGAAAGCAGGTCCTCCCCGCAGAGTTGGTTTTTTTATTTGGATTTTAAGAGCTTAGAGAGCTTATGAAATGCTAAAACCTTCTAAAATTCTTGCAGGCTCCACGCCAAACTCCGCCAGGACGGTTACGACTGCGGCGACGAGGTGGCCGCGTTTCTGAGCGAGGTCCTGGAGGAGGGTATTTTATTACGGCATGATATTTGAACGGTATCTAGACGCGCGGATGGTCGTCTACAGCCCGGAGTTGTTCACGGAACGCACGGCGATCCCGAATGCCGGGTGGTGGAGGAATCCGGTGCCAACGGAGCGGCGGGACGACGTGGGAATTTCGTATTATAGTTTAGAGCTTGGAAAAGTTTTTCGAAACATCGTTAGAAAAATCGAAAAACTCTTTAGAGCTATTTCGTCGACCTGGCGCAGTTTATGATCACCACCAAGGAGTCGCTGGACGAGGTGAACGAACTGTTGGGGCGGAGCGAGAATCCGGTAGGTGGATTTTAGGTAAACTTTACGGTACTGGCTCGTTAGCGGGGGGGGAGGTTTTTTTTAAATTTGACCTTTTTACTATTTCTAAAAGCACAAATAGTACTAATTTTACAAAAATAATACAAAAAAATATGTTTTTCAACCAAAAATCGCGGATTTTAGACAAAACTACGCAATTTTTTAAATAGTTTTTCCACCTTAAATATAATTAAATTTCGACGAAAAATCCATTAAAAACTTACTATTAAGTTTATAGTCATTTCTCGGTTTATACCAAAAGTTAGCCTCCCCGATAATGCGAAAGTACCGACTTTTATGGCGTTCTTTTTGTGCGCAGCTAGCGAGCCGGAGCCGATTTTATTAATTGCCCCAATTACCGTATCCCCATACAGATCAACAGCGTGCAATTCCGAGGGAACATCGTGGTGGACAAATGCTCACAGGCTTGGGATGAGGATATGTGGTCTGAGCTGCGATTTGGCGACGATTCCGACTCGACTGTGCTGCAGTGCTACAAGCCGTGCACGCGGTAGGTGAAGAAGTCCAAGGTTTCTACCCCGGTTTTCAGATGCATCTTCACGACGGTGGACCCGGAAACGGGTACCAAGGACCCGGCACAGCAGCCGCTGCAGATGCTCAAGGAGTAGGCTGCACCTTGGAGACGTTCAAGCCGTTTTTAGGCACCGCATGGCCCCGCCGGATCTGGTCAAGGACCTTGGCAAGCTGCCGATTTTCGGTGTGAATGCGGGAACAAAGGTAGGTCGATAAACTGCGTCGGTCTTAATCGGTATTTTGCCATTCATTTTGTCGAAAATTAAGGTTTCGAAATTGGGTTTCGATAATCATTTGTTGTCGACTTTTTTTCACCTTTTTCGACACATTTTTCATTTGATTAGACGTGCAAAAAAAACTGATTTTTTTTCCACATGTGGAGATGAATAAATTTCGACAAAAAGCAATTTCAAAATATTAAATTTCGACAGAATTTCGAAAAATGATATTTGGACAAGAGTTTCGAAAAATAAATTTTCGACAAAATTGATTTCGACATATTGATAACAAATTCATTGCGTAATCGATTAGCGTTCGTAGCGAGAGATTCATAGCGTTGCGTGTCGCGTTCCACAGTCAAGAACATCCCTAGCAAAACCATAGTTTCAAACTACATCTCCTAGATGCCCGGCTACATCTACGAGGGCCAAACCGTTTGGGCCCGCCTCAAACCATGCGCCTTCTAAAATGCGATTCATCCCTTTAAATGTGATAAATATTTATTTATCGCCTGCCGGCGAACAGCAGATCCGTATACGGCAACGAGACACGCAAACGCGTTGGGCTAGAGTGGCAGGGTGATGAGAGTGACGCGCGAGCAGAGGGGCAGAGAAAGGGGAGAAACTGCCAATGTCGCCGCAATCTGCCATTAACTTTTGTGAATTGAACGGTTCCTTTTCTCCTGTAGTTCACATTCCTTTCGTGATTTCCCATCCGTGATTATCATTGTTATTTTCTCCTTAACCTTTAGTTAACAACTATTCCTACTTACTATCTCTCTCTCCCTCTCTATCGCTCTCTCTTTCTCACTCTCTCTTAAATTGAATCATGACAGAGTGCGTGTGAAAAATAATTCTTTGTTTTCAGATTAGTCCCCGCGAAATGAATCAAACCATAAATATACGGATGATTGATAAAAACATCGAAATGGATTTGCCGGATAACACGATCACGAAGAGTTCCATAAAATCGGCGTTCTTGCTCACAGACGATGCGCTCCTTGCGCTTTCCTACGATGTGAATGGCCGTCACAGATTTTGTCGGTAAGTTACAATTTGATTTGTTTCTGAATGTATTTCATTTCATTTAGTGTAAACGAGTCTGGAACGACTTTCCTACTTCCCGCCCAGTTCCCAACGCTTCAATTTTTGTGAAATCGGGACAAAGCACCCTCCCAACCCAATTCTTCCAGGCGTTTCGAAGGTTTGTATGAGTTACGATTTGAATTTATTATCTTACAGTTTGAACTTCAATTTGTAGATTTTTATGTAAAAATTGGGATTTTTGCTTAAAATATGAATTTTAGGGAATTTGTCCGGCCATCGGAAACGTTCTAAGTCAACTTACGTCCTCGACGGTATGATATTTTAAATGGTCTAACAATTTATTGCTGGTTTTGCAGAGAAACTAGCAGACGAGCTCCGCTCTCGTCTCTATTTCATCCCGCGAGGACAAAAAGCTCTTCAAGATGAAGAGAAAACTTCGGCAGAACTTCTACAAGATGGCGCGATTGACGGTGGCTGTGTATCGCCTATTTCGTCAAGGGCGGCGGTGACATACGCACACAGGTCTCACAAAATACTACGAGAGTACGTAGAAGGGCAGAATGACGAAGCCAATACGCACAGTCTTGTGGAGATAAAAAATGCTCAGGATCACAGTATCCGACACAAGATGAAGGTATCTTAAAAGACATTTTGGATAATTAATTTAATATATTGTAGGTGATCGTCGTCGACACTCATCACGACTTTGTTATTCTTCGCTCGGTGGACGGAAGCGAGATCTTCGAGGACTACCCGTATTCCAAACGATCACCGAAGACTTTTGAGTCGTTTATCGGGTTTGGTCTCAGTCACGATACCGACGAAGGGCAGCAAATTACCCATCGAAATGGTCGGATATGTTCGGATTCCGTGGACCACAGAGGACGTTTCTTGGCCAGTTCGGCAATTGATGGCGGAGACTCCGGAGGCCCCTGCTACGCTGCTGATCGCGCTCTCATCGGCATTATGGTAGCTTCAACCACAACCGATCCAAGGCTCGACGCCGAATATGGTCGAGAAAGCATAGAAGAAGAAATTATCGAGGCGTCTTCTCATCCAGCTGATACCTGGATCTCTCCGGCCCTGTTTATTGCTGAAGCCTATAAGGTTATTTATTTTGACACATTCAGAGATAATATTTTTTAGAATTATCTAGTGAAGCATGGTCTTCTACCAGTTCGACGAGAGAGGATTCGGGATAGGGGCTCCTAACGCATTTTTTAGCGTATTTTCGCCACGGTCGACCCGGAAACGGGTACCAAGGACCCTGGGCAGCAGCCGCTGCAGCTGCTCAAGGAGTAGGCTGCACCTTGGAGACGTTAATTTGTTGTCGCTTTTTTCCTTTTTTTCGACACTTTTTCGAAATCTGATTTTTGATTTGCTGGGCGTTTTGGAAAGCAGATCTTTGCCAATGTGGAGATGAATAAATTTCGACAAAAAGCAATTTCAAAATATTAAATTTCGACAGAATTTCGAAAAAATGAAATTTGGACAAAAATGTCGAAAAATAAATTTTCGACAAAATTTATTTCGACATATTGATGACAAATTAATTGCGTAATCGATTACGCAATAATAACGAGCGTACGCGTTGCGTGTCGCGTCCCACAGTCAAGAACATCCCTAGTGAAACCATAGTTTGTAACTACATCTCCTAGATACCCGGCTACATCTACGAGGGCCAAACCGTTTGGGCCCGCCTCAAGCCGTGCGCCTTCTAAAATGCGATCCATCCCTTTAAATGTGATAAATATTTATTTATCGCCTGCCGGCGAACAGCAAATCCGTATACGGCAACGAGTTCTGGCGTCGATGCAGCGAAATCGGCGCAAACCCGAAATTCGAAGTGTAGAATGTCGGCAGGGGGTTGTATTTGCGTTTTCGCACCTGAAAAATTGTTTGAAAAACTTTGGTTGAATTTTCGATGCTTTAAAATGCGTAGATTCTGGGAAAATAGACAGCCAAAATCGCAGCACGGCCGCGCAGGCGAGTCTTTTAGTGGCAACGCGTAAATTGATCGCTTTGAAAGTCTTGATTTTAATGGCTAAAATGACAAGACTTAGCAAAATTGCATTATGTAGTGATCTAAAATTCTCGAAATTTCACAATGCCGAAAATTACCTAAACTAATCCCCCGAAAATCCGATGTCAAAAACCTCGATAAATTGAAAAATAGAAATTATGACATTTTACCATTATGAATTTTCCATTACAATAGCAAAACCCTCTTAAGCCTCAAACCTTCTTAAGTTGGTTAATCACACACAACCGCCCATGGGTTCGGTGCGGATGGTTCAAGGGAAAGGGCGTACTGTACGTGTTTTTCGCGCGTTGCGTGCGGGTGCGCGGAATAGCAACCGGTTTTTAGCTGCGCAGGCCTGCTTTCGCAATTGCGCGACGCGTCTATCGCACGCGTTGCGGTTTTCCCTCCTTTCCAAAGCTACCGGACGTTTTATTAGGGGCCGGGCCGCTGTGCACACCAAAAAACTGAAATCCTGGACCCACAATGATCCTTGTGCGCGGCGGTTTGTCGCGGTTGTAGGCGCTCTTCCGCTTCAGGGAAGAGTAGCTATCCTGGAGCAGCAAGTCGATCGGATCACTGACAATGGTAACGTCATTTTTCTAATTTTCCGGTCTGACTTATGTTAGTTTCCCGATAACTCGACGTACCTCATAAATCGTATGCCAGGCACTCGGGCCTCCACCGGCTCGAGTAGGGGTAGAAAGAGGAAGGCGATGCATAACAGCACGGCTCTCGTTCGCCATCTTCGAAGCATCGCTGAAAGTTCGCGTTGGAAACGTAACGAAGCTAGTAGAACTCGATTAAAAATGAAAGCGGGCCACAATAAATGGCTTTTCCATCTAAAAACCGTGTAAAATGGGGTATTTTCTTTGTGCTGGAAAAAAATTAGCCTTGGTCGCCACCCCCCGTTAAGAGTTCAGCGCCAAAATTCTATGTTATCTGCCAAAAGCGATTCACCAAAAAATATGAAAAAATTACTTGGCGCTAAAATTAAGTGGTTGACGATATTAAACGTCTACAGAGACCCAGAAATGCAATAATGACTCGACCTACCGGAAGGGATTATCCCGCCCGCCAGCCAAAAAAAACAGGTGTTTTGAAAGGGCAGTCACGTCATCTGGGCCAATTTTTGTATCCGACTGACGAATTGACGCCAATGGGGATCGAGCGAGAGATTCCCATAGAGAGTGAGAGAGAATGAGAAGGGAGAGAGCGAGATACAGAGAGACAGAGACAGAGAGAGATTGAGAGCGAGAGAGAGACAGAGAGTGAGAGAGAGGGCGAGAGAGAGAGATCAACAGACCGCTTTTAGAAAGTCAAGGGACCAAATTTGCTACCCTGAATTAGCGCCAACAATCCTAAAGAATGCGCGCGAAGCGCGAGCCCTGGATGCGGACTCCAATTCGCGGCGAGTTGAGTGTTTGCTGTGGTGGATCTGATGATACAATACTGGCCCCGCGGGGCGTTAGGCAAAAAGTGGCGAAGATTTCGTGGCCAGAATTGGAAGCACTTGAACGAAAAGTTGTCATTTTAACATTTTTCGTGGTTGTATTGAATAAGTTCTGATTTTCTATTCTTCGAAAATGTTTGAAAAATTTTAGAACGAAAGAATTTTTTGTAATTTTTATGAAATTGCAAGCGAAATCGTCAGGAATTTCAATTATTAGGGATTGTTTCTCTCTAAAAACCGGTGTAAAATGCTTCAAATGACCTAAATTTCGCTACAGGGCCGTACAGGAATGCAGGAGAAAAAAAATGATCCTGCTAAAGCGGAACGAACAAAAAATCACAGGCATCTTCGGCTAGATCTCGAAAAACCTGGCCGATTTCCGAGTTTAGGGCACCACGATGATCAGGCAAAACGGAAACGGCAAAGATCACGGAATACAGTTGGATGAGGAGACAAACAACGGCAAGACTTGGGCGCGATGTGGAGGGCAGCCAGATGATGCCTGACGCGCACTCGGATCCGGTCAGAGACCCGGATCGGATCTCTCGCTATTCCTCGAGAGGGCCCACTTCCCATTCGGCTTTTGTTTCCCCGCATCCCGCGATTCAGCCGGGTCATATACAATCGAGAGAGGGGGAATTGAACCAGTGCAAACGCTTCTCAGTTTTTGCAGGTGTCGTGCGGAATTCGATTAGTCATCTCCAATGGTCTCTGCTAGCCCTCCTCAATGCTCTCTGCTAGCCCTCCAAATGGTTTCTGCTAGCCCCCCCCCCTAAGGGTCTCTGCTAGCCCTCCTCAATGATCTCTGCTAGCCCTCCTCAATGATATCTGCTAGCCCTCCCCAATGGTCTCTGCTAGCCCTCCTCAACGGTCTCTGCTAGCCCCAATCCGGTTAATAAAACAAATACTTTATTCAACATTCACAGGGCTAATTTCGATCACAACACACATGAATGATTCTGAAAATCGGTGGAGACTTTAATATTTTAATAACTGTTGGTATTGATGGTGTTCATTTATCATCCGTATTTCACTGGCATATCGACGACTTCTTCGACTTCTTTGTGCGGGTGGACGGGGCGATGGCGGTCTTGCTGCACGTCTCCTGGGGAGGGCACGAGGATTTCTAAAGGTTTCGTATAAAACTGTATCTCCGCCTTTCCACCATCTCCCCCGCTAAGAAACTAGAACCAAAATTCCCCTCCCCCCGCTAACAACCGAGTACCAAATTACCTGGGTGGAACGTGTCTTGGTGGTTCCCTTCGACAGAGGAACCCGTTCGAGAGATCGAGTCTTGAGGGCAGGGGCCGGTGGCTCGCCGGGGATTCCTTGGAATCGACAGTTCACCGGATATGGATAACACGGATCCATGCGGCCCGTTTGCTGAAAGATGACCCGGATACAGTGAGCCAAGAGGGCCCACATCCAACGAATTGTGCGTCAGATCGTCCTCAAAAGTCAGGCTCATCATCGTCGAGAGGATTCCGGCCTCGTTGGCGGTTAGTTGCTCCTTGAAATGAGGAAAAATCATAGCTTACGCTTGGCTTAGGCTTCGCTTAGGCTGAGTAGGCTTAGGCTTAGGCTTATACTTAGGCTTAGGCAGAGGCTTAGGCTTGGCTTAGGCTTGGCTTAGGCTTCAGCCTAGGCTTACGCTTAGTCATTGGCTTAAGCTCGAGCTCCTGCCTACCGTATCGTTGGTGACGCCAATCTTCTTGAGGTAGACGCTCACGTCGAACGGCACGGCGAACGGCTTGTGCAGCTCGACAAGCTCGCGGGTGTACGGGGGAGCGCCGCGGAATCTAAGGATACGGTGTACTTTTGACACCAGTTACCGTATCTTGTACACCACCGGAACTTCCGAAGGGCCGAAGAGGCGGGCCGGGAACTTGCGCCAGTCGGGCACATTCTAAAACGAGTAGGAAAGCCTAAGCCAAGCCGAAGCCTAACTCAAGCCAAGCCTAGGCTAACAATAAGTCCCACTCACCAAGCACCAATCGGCCACGGGGAGCATGGCAATCGAGACGCGCTGCGAGCCCATGTGATGCGGATCGTAGCGCGTGATCTGAGCGGCGTCACTTGTATCTTCCCGTAGCCAGGTGCCCCACCACGATCTTCGTCTGGCTGTCCGGCTCGCAGATGAAGTAGGGCGCCTTGTCGCAGGACAGCTTGCCGCCGCCGGTGCCGCGAACCTGGAGCGCAAAAATTATAGGTCTTTTCGGGCGCCCTGTAGATGATCTAGATTC